ACAGATTCAGACTAACACGGCTACCCCTCTGATACTTGAAATATTTACAGTTTTCTAAAACTAGCTCTGACATTTTATTTTTAATATATAGATTCTTACCTGTAATTATTTAGGGAGCTGTTAAAGAGGCAAGGACACCCAAACTTTGACCAGCAAAAGGCTACACTGGCAACAAGGGCCACATCTGATTTCAATGATCACAGATTTCCGCTGTCCTTATCTTCATTATGAAGATTTGGCTAGTAGACCTGCAGTCTACACCTCTGTATTAAACTAAGGGTGACCACAGGCTGCATTTGACCTGCTGACCTAACTCTGACCAGTGACCACCCCTAATCTAAGGCATAACAAGTCACTGTCATTTTCCTTTAATGATCTATTGAAATGCTGTTCTTCCTCTGAGCTTGTTTTTTCTTTAAAAACGGGGATTGAACAATACATTTTTATTCACTATTTAAATGTTTCTAAAGGAAGCAGTGAAAAAAACGAAGAGAGAGATGCAGCGGTACCTGGAAGATGAGCTGAAGAGGGAATCTGAAGCTGCAGAGCAGCGCATGGCTCACAAACTTCAGCGCATCCTGATGGAGTGTGCTTTGGAAAAGATGCACGCTGTAGCTGACGCCAGAAGACAGGAGAGGCAGACAGCATCCCAAGCAATGGCCAAGCAGCAAAAGTATTCTTGCCATTTTCTAAAGTTTAACTGTTTATCCGTTTTTATAACAATAAGCAAAAATGCATACACCAACAATAAGCAAAATATCCTAAGGGTTTTCTGTGGCACCCCATCTTCATCTTCTAAGCACTGATATCCTAACTAGAATTCTACCTATGGAATTCATACAAAATATACTGAAACATGTAACTAAAGAAACAAGACTTGAGTACATCAAGGTTGATCATTCCCGACTTTCAAGAAACAGATCAATATATTTTCAAAATATTTAATACCTGAAATTCAAAAGGTGACTTCACTCTGAAAAGTGACTGAAATTAGCATTGTGGGCTTTCAGGCTTATTGCATTTCACAATTTCACATCAAATTTACTTAGGGTAGAAGCAACAATTTTTTTTCTAATTGCCAGCACCACAAACTTAACCTGGGACTTGAAAGTCAAGCTTTGTTCTTTATGTGTCATCACCACAAATAAAGATTTAGCAGGTCAAATTCTGCCCTCACTTACACTGTACAAAAACCCATTGTCTTCATTTAAATGGAATGGGATTTTACAGGTTAAACTGAGGGCAACGGCTGGCTCTACAAGTGGAATTTAGTTAATTATGGTTAACAGTGTTGGATACTTAATATCCTGCTCCCTCTCCCATAAGATTAGAGAGTAGTAAGATTTACTTTTGTCACTAATGTCAGAAGTAATTCTAAAAACTCACAGAGAGCAGATCTGTTGGGTAAGAATGTTCCCTTTTTAAACAGGCATTTTTCAGAATAGAAAAGCATGTTGTTGAGGCCACACTGAGTTGACATTATGTAATGTTTTCATTCTCACAATGAAAACAGGGCCCAGTCCTGCAGTCCTTTTTTCCACAGACTACTACATCATCTTAGCTGGTATCTTCTGATTCTCCTGTCAGCTGAGTTCCTATGGGACCTGGTGAAAATTAAAACTCCTCCGCAAAGTGGAACAACTGGGAGAATTTCCCCTTTGGCACAATGGACTTGGCTGACGCTGAGCGTACCATGGGGATACTCTTTATACTTCCCTGAGCCAGCTTTGCTGAATTGCATTCACTGTGTTTGGGCACTGTTATATATATATTTTATACTTTTTCTTGTCTTATTTTAGTAGTTGTACTGAACACAGATGTGTTTGATAAAACTTAAACAAAAATTAGAAGTACATTTCCAGGCTACAAATCAATGTTTAGTCCCAATTCACGAAAACATTCCAATTTGGGACAGCACTATAAAAAAATTATTTAAAGTTAAAATACAGAATACCAAACTGATTCTTCATGTTCTTCCCTCCCAGCCCCCCACACACCTTATTTGTTTAATTTTACATTTATTTTAAGTATTGTAACACTTTTCACCTTGACACATGCACCATTAAAATAATACCATTTGGCATACATATTGGAACTGAGCTTCCACTGGTATAAATCAGTATAGTTCCATTTAAGGCAGTGGAGCTATGCTGATTTACAGTATCAGAGGATCTGGCCCTACAGTCTTTCTGATATCTTGTTTTAGTCCTGTAATAATTTTACTTCATGTTATAACTTCACTTAGATTTGAAACAAAATCAGAAACTTTATAATTGTACAGTGAATAAACTTTAAGTAATCTTTAATAATCATTCATAATGTATGAAACCTATCAAAGTTACTTTACAGATCAATTAACTTTTTAACAGACAGTACACAGAGCAACTCCAGGAAGCTGGGATATTGGCTAACGAAATACATCAGAAGAACCTGGATCAATTAAAAAAGAAAAATATTATGAAATGAGTGTTGCCTTGGACATCACTCAAAAAGAGAATCAAGAGGAGGCTGAAAAACAACTCAAAGAAGCAGAGGTAACACATCAGGCCATATATGGAGAAGTGACGACCAGCCTGAGAGAGACAGAAGCTCAAGTACAGATTCTTACCCAACAGCTGGGAAGCATGACAGCTTGGAAAGACAACCTGGAAGCTGAAATAGAAGAAATAAGACAATCTTTTCAAAACTACATTGATATTACGTTTCCTAAGCTGACCCCAGGACAAGCAGATTTTATCCTGCCATTCAGAAAGCGACTTGAACACAGGGATACAAAAAAGGAAGCAACAGATAATGACAAGGAATGAAAAGACGGGATCGGTGTGAGATTTACTGCAAGTGCAGATCAGTACTTCCAGTAGGTAATGCTGAAAAATAAATCAATTTCTGTTCACCGCATTAAACATGAGTCCCTGTAGGTAAAGGAAAAATAATCATTACATATTAATTAATGCACCAAGCTTAGGCAGGATATATTCATATTCTCTCCTACAAATGGTAAAGTTAAGATTACACCTCAACTTCCATTATAATAACCTCCTGTCTCAAAAACTTTTGAGGTGCAGTTTCACATGCTTGATATTAGCCTGAAGACACTTTTTTGAAGCGTGAGGAAAATCCATTCAGCCACTTTCCAGTGAACAAGAAAAAATACACTTTTTCTTAGTTAAAAAAAAAGATTAAAGGCAATATTTGAAGTAGTGAAAGCGAAGTGAATCCTGGACAGGGGTTACTGAAGAGAGAAGTGCCAGCTCTGCTACATGCTCCTCCTATCCCAGGAAACTGTGCTGAATTCTCCTCTGGTGGAGCTCTACTGGGTCATTGGTTTTGAGGATTTTAGGGTTAGGACCAGGAACTGTTGCTCTTTGTTATATTCTTCCTGCAGACTCTGAGGATGTCCAACTGAGAGTTAACACTTCTTAAAGCAGTTTTTATCATCCAGGCTCCCCTTCCTTACTGCACATCTGTGAGACAGTTAGTTTGTGGCAGCATTGCACCAGCAGAGTGGCTTTGAGGTTGCATAGGGATTCCATGGATCATCTAAGAGCTCTCTGGATCTTAGCAAATCCACTAGGTTTGATAGCTTAAACCTCTGCCCTTTCATTTCTTGACAAAATGATAAGTAGGACATTCTGGCAGTCAAAACTCAGTTTCCTGTCTCCTAAACCAGATACACCCACATATGGCTCTAGTGAATCATAGAATATCAGGGTTGGAAGGGACCTCAGGAGGTCATCTAGTCCAATCCCCTGCTCAAAGCAGGACCAATTCCCAACTAAATCA